TTTGGTACAAGTATTACTCATATGCATAGAAATATTACTGTGGAATATGGAATGTGTAGCTCCCATACAAGGTCCCCTCCCGAAAATCACTTAAACGCGCATAACTCATTACTAAATTAAGATATCCATATAAAATTTGGTACAAGTATTACTCATATGCACAGAAATATTACTGTGGAATTTTTTTCCGATCGGTCTATAATTGGTCATAGCTCCCATACAAGGTCCCCTCCCGAAAATCACTTAAACGCGCATAACTCATTGCTTAGTTAAGATATCCATATAAAATTTGGTATAAGTATTTCCCATATGCATAGAAATATTACAGATAATTTTTTTTCCGATCGGTCCATAATTGGTCATAGCTCCCATACAAGGTCCCCTCCCGAAAATCACTTAAACGCGCATAACTCATAACTAAATTAAGATATCCATATAAAATTTGGTATAAGTATTGCCCATATGCATAGAAATATTACAGATAATTTTTTTTTCCGATCGGTCCATAACTGGTCATAGCTCCCATACAAGATCCCCTCCCGAAAATCACTTAAACGCACATAACTCTTTACTAAATTAAGATATCAATATATTGCAGAAATATACTTAAAGGCACATAACTCCTTACCAAATACCCAATAAACCAAACGATATTATAACGATATCGAAACGATATCACTTAGGTGATAAAAAATATCATAAGTGATAGTCGTTCTCGTATCGAGAACGATAGTATTTACGTACTAAATGGTACCTTTCCTTATGATATCGTTTTTCCATAAAATTATGAAATCGTTTTCGTTATCATAATTTCCAAAAATAATGATAGTTAAATCGCCTTTTTCAGTTTTTTTTTCTGTATGCTCTTTTATTCTTAAAATTTCATTTAAAACGCTATTTAACTTAATATTTCGCTATTATACATATAAAAAAGCCTGAAAAGAGAAGGATTGCATTCATTTGTACATATTTACATACATACATTAATACATATTTTAAAGTAATCATATTTTTCATCACATTATGCATTGTCTTGCAAATACCTGAAACTTTTCAAAATTGCATACATGTCAACTTACCACAAAACTGAAGTATCGAACGAAATTCGCGTATTTATTTGGATTATTTATCAATAATTTAGTTGATTTTATTTTAATATCCTTTTTAGTTTTCTTATGTTCGAAAATTTTTATTGAAATTATTTTTATGTTTGAAGTTTTTTTCAAATGTTTGTATTTTCTTAATTTTTTTATTGGAAACAAAATAATATAAAACGATATTATAATAATATCGTTTTAAATAATGAAATATGATATCATAATCGCCCTTTAAAAGCAATACCGTTTTCGCTATCATATCGTTCTTTGGTTTATTGGGTAGTGATATAAATAAATACTATTTTTGTTCATAAATACTATTTTGTAATGCAAAAAGCACTTAATGTTATTTAAAAAATTTTTCACGATCGGTCTATATTTGGCCATATCTCTCATACTAGGTCCTGCCCCTAAAAGCGCTTTAACCGTATTTAACTATTTGCATTATCAATTTGTGTAGAACAAAATTATATATATATTTATGTATTTTGAAAATCCTTAAATGTTTCACACACATGCATACATGTAAATACTAGATATCGCTAAAGCATATCTTAGGGCGCTATAAAAATTTAAAAGAAAGTGGCGTTTCTAATCTTGGAATTGTAGTAGATTTAAGCTGTTTAAATCTTGGGGTTTTTCTATTTATGACATGAGAAAACTTATTTCTACTAATATTTTATTAATTAGAAATGTATTAATACAAAAGTTGCTGGTGGAGGGTATTTAAGATTCGGCTCAGCCGAATATAGCACTCTAACTTGTTAGTATGATAATTTGTTTTCAAGAGGAAAATCTTAATTATTAATCATTATAGACCACTATAGATACCCAGGAGGGTCTATTAAATTCGCTACATAACAAACAAGTTACAAAAATTGTATTTTAATTGTAAGAGGATAATTATGTGAGAATTTATAAATGAATGTCTGTATGTTTTAATGTGTTACCTAAATACTAAATTAAACATTTTTTGCATCATTTCGAATTTCCCATTAAATAGTTATTAGTTATTCAAAACATATTGAACACAATTTCATTTATTACATAACGTTTATAGGAAGTAGTGAAAAATGTTTATTTTTATATTGAATAATTTAAAACCCTTTACGTGCATTTATGCTGTTAGTGAAATAACCCTTAAGCGGCTGCATTGAATTTGAATTAATTAGCCAAATATAAATCAATAGCATGCGGTCATAAGTAGTTTATTTTTTTTTGTCCGAATCAAATATAAAGAAAATCAAATACGTAACTGATTTTTTTCTCAATCTCAAATAATTATATTAGGGTGGTGCCTTAAATGTGGTTTAAAATTTAAGTGAAATAATAGGAGTAAATGCGTTAAATATTGTAGTTGTTCTAACAATAACTTTTATAATTATAAACTTTAATAGTTTACCATTCGCTTCTTGAGGAGTGTACAATGTGGATTTTCTCGATTTAATTCGGAGATCCGATATCGAACTTGGGATGTGAGGTAGTATACATCCTCCTTTCAATATAACCTAAACTTATTTTGAGTCGATTTGACTCGATAAAGTCCTGTACGATATGTCTTAATCGTAGAAATTTCATACTTCACGACCTACATTTGTTAGTTTATGTGACCAGTAAGTCCAGGTCTTACTACGCAACTTTTATTTTGACCTAAAAGATTTAAGAAAATTTGAAGGTGATATCTTCAGTGATCTTCCACTGTCCCTCGGGGCATCTTTCCTTGATGATAGATCCCATCGTAATGTATTGCAATCCCGGGGTAAAGAGGAGCAACCAGCAACTCTAGTCTGCCGGGACTATAAACTGGTGATGATCAAATGTATTCTCGGCCTTTCCTTGAAATGATTTTACATGAGGTCGAAGCAGAGCACCACATAATCTGCTACTACGGCTGTCCTGACTAATCAGTTGGTTGAGGTTCCTTTGGGATCCACGTAGTGGCTATGGTTTAAAACCAAATTCGGGGGAAGAGGTGCGTTGGTGTGCGATGTACCATCAGACTTGTATCTGATGGATGATAGGGATTCTGAGTTGTATTTGAGGTTTTATCTGATGAAGTGGCGATTGGAAGTGGCGTAGGAGTTGGAAGGATGTTTGGCAAAACTGAGTGAGATGTTTGGCGAAACTGGTGAGATATTGACGGAGTTGTTAATAACTTAATATTTAATTTATCGGCGATTTTCTTTCATGGTTGAGTATGTTTGAGTTTACTCTGAAACCTCACAGTAGGTTCATGTGGCTACTGAAATAACTACCAATTACGCCCCTAGATGCTGTTTCCAAAACAACAGAGCCATCTCAGTAGTGTGATTGGGCGATTTAAGAGAGCAATGAATGCACTGGGGTGAGTCTTTAGATAATGGGAATGCCTTGGAGTATTCCTCATAGCATCTAAAGGGTACTTTCACCAGATGTTGGGTCTGCCCCTTCTTTCGACTCTAAACCAGTGATTGCCTTTGTCGGAGTTTGATTGAGCTTGACTCATGATACCTGTCAGCTTGAGCAAAGTGCTTGTACATGGATTGGAACCATGAACCATGTACAAAAATTCTCACCCGCATGTAAGAGAAGTTACAATCACAATGGCGCTAGATCCCACTCGATATCCCACTTTTCATAGTACCCTATAATAAGAAGAGATGGATCGTAAACTATGTGACTGTCGTTTGACCGGTAAGTGGTTAATTATGTTTCTGTAGTTTGGTTATCCTCGCTAAGTTATTTCCAGTGGAGAAAGTAGTTAAACAAGAAAACGTAGATTCTTTTATTATACTCTTACATGACCCATTCTCATTAGTCAGACAATGCAAGGAACATTTGTCAATGCTGGGTCACCTGTCTGACATTACCCTAGTTTGGGTCCCTGCACACAGAGACTAGTATGAAAATGTCAGGCAGGTTAGCTAGCCAGAACGGGATCTGCTCTTGGTATTTCCAAGGCGGTTTCAATAGCAACACCGTTAGGATTTATCAAAAATTAGTACCTTCATTCTTTAAGGGACTCTAAATATCTGGAATAATCTTGACACATGTAGAGGTTCCAAGTTATTGAGATCTTCTTTGATTGATAAACGCACTAGACAACTAATAACCCAAAACAGGCGGGATGGCAGTAATAACTGGACAATATGACTAGGCGCACATGCCTAGTAGGTTTGATCTCCAATTTAACGAATTTTTGTCGGAGCTGCAATGACAAAAATAAAGACAATTCTGTCTTCCACCTTCATTGCAAATACCCTGCCCCAGCAGTCAAGAGGAATAACGTTATAAGAAGTTACTCTACTCCAAAATTGGTGAACTATATTGGTCAAGATTCAACGACCTAAAGAGATATCTCACTGCTACAGGATGGATCTAATACTACCCTACGATATATCTGATGAGTGATGTGGTCAAAACGGGGTCCCTACCACATTAACCAACCAAACCAGATTACTTTTGTACTCTCTTTATTACTATAACAACAAGGACCGCATTATTAACAACAACCACCCTAATACCCAACAACTGCGATAGCAACATTTGTTGCGAAACATTAGCCACTGCAAGTACGTTTTTGCGAACTTCATTTGATGTTTCACTTCGTTGAAGCAATGATCAAGCCAAACAAAAAGACGTTAATGTGCTTTTGTTTATAATGTTTTGTTTTTGGTAATACTATAGACAAACAGCCAGCAGTGGCAGCAACAATAAAATACCATGTGTGTTTACGACAAACATAATAGCATATACTACTTACTAACCAATGCAGTAGATAGTATTTTAAATTTTCCAACACCTCCCTCTAGAAAAGAAAAATAAACCGAAAAAAAATACTCATAAGAAGAAAAACACACAGTCAAATGAAATGACTGTAAAGTAAAATAAACATTTTATTAAGTAGAGTTTTTTGATTAAATGTTTCAGTTGTCTAAAATTACGCGTACCGAGCGGTTGTTAAATAAAATTTAACGGTTAACAAGATTTGAAAAATAAAAAAACCTAAAAACGTAATTGGAAAAAATGCGTTACATTTTCAAATTATTTTTAAGTTAAGCAATATTTTGTCTTGGAAAATAAAACTTAACCTTTGTGTATAATTAAAAATAATTGAAAATATATATATATATATTGCTAAAACATATTCATACCACCAGTTGATTCATACAATAGAGCGCGCGTGTACAACCATCCATGCACAATTTTGGACAATGGATTACCAAATTGTGCCAAAAACCCACAATCATTTTTTGCTTGTTATTAGTTTATTAATTTTTTCTTTTGTAAGTTTTAATAATAAATCATCAAGTATGCAATAAAACATAAATAAATAGTGCAAAAAGAAAATAAGTTATAATTTATGTATGAAATATTTATAAAATATATAAATGTTTAATAAAATATGTCTAATCTTTATATGAAAATCTTTGAATAAAATTTTACAGTTGCCTTATTGTTTGTGTATAGTAAATCGTGATTTAGTTTTAACTCCTAAACAAGGCCTACAATTAAGTGGCAAACGTATATTTTATGAAGAAAGCTTCAACAGCGACGACAACAATAATGATAATGCCTTACATCATAATGATTCTGCGGCAGTTTTGGGGACACAGCCCTGGGAACGTACCCTAAAGCATGTTACATATTTAACACTTTTCACAAATGCTGCAAATGGTATTATCACGGGAAATTTTAGGTAAGAGTTTATGTTTTTCTTTACCATGTTATTATAATTATAAGGAAATGTTTTGTTTTGCTAGTTAAAAGTTGGTATGATAAATGTGTGGGGAAAAATTGTGGACAATGAGATATGTTAGGTAGATATTTCTATTATCTAATGATCAGACATATAAAATACACATACATATTATGTAAATTAAAAGTGAGGAAGTCAAATGTTAAGTTATAAATAAAGAATATTAACAAAATGTTCTTGAATAATTAAAATATTTAGGTTACAACAGGTGTAGAACCGTTAGTAGAGTGTGTGAACAAATATATATTTGTTATATAGGAAGTAATCGAAATACATTTTGAAAACATAGAAGAGATAATTATATTAGATTATTAAGGTCACTAAGCACCACGACTTTGTTTTGGAACTTTTGTGTTTCCCATAAGTTCAATTCACGCATGAAAATAACGGGTTTGATTGGTGAGAGGTTGAATATATCCTTCGGGCTCTATTGATCGCACTGGATACATGTGAGTTCAAATTTAGGGTTTTCTCAAGAATGATCCCTAAGTATTTGACTTTCTTCGAGAACTTAATAATAGGACAATTTAGAGTTGGTTCGATAAATCTCAGAGATCTGCGTCTAGTAAATGGTACAAGAATGGTTTTTGAAGGGTTAATTACAGCACTTAGCTGTAATGTCAATTGCCTTCTGCATCCTTTCCGATATCGTTACATCATCGAACCCTGTGATAGATATGAGATGGTCGTCGCCATACGGAAACCTATGTCATTAAGTTTTACCAGAAGAGTTGGTTCGATAAGTCTCAGAGATCTGCGTCTAGTAAATGGTACAAGAATGGTTTTTGAAGGGTTAAATGTTTGCCTCACAGCACTTAGCTTTAATGTCAATTGCCTTCTGCATCCTTTCCGATATCGTTACATCATCGAACCCTGTGATAGATATGACATGGTCGTCGCCATACGGAAACCTATGTCATTAAGTTTTACCAGTAGAGTTGGTTCGATAAGTCTCAGAGATCTGCGTCTAGTAAATGGTACAAGAATGGTTTTTGAAGGGTTAAATGTTTGCCTCACAGCACTTAGCTGTAATGTCAATTGCCTTCTGCATCCTTTCCGATATCGTTACATCATCGAACCCTGTGATAGATATGACATGGTCGTCGCCATACGGAAACCTATGTCATTAAGTTTTACCAGTAGAGTTGGTTCGACAAGTCTCAGAGATCTGCATCTAGTAAATGGTACAAGAATCCGTTTTGAAGAGTTAATTGTTAGCCTCACAGCACTTAGCTGTAAGGTCAATTGCAATTCTGCATCCTTTCCGATATCGTTACATCGTCGAACCCTATAATAGATATGACATGGTCGTCGCAATACGGAAACCTATGTCATTAAGTTTTACCAGTAGAATTGGTTCGATAAGTCTCAGAGATCTGCATCTAGTAAATGGTACAAGAATGCTTTTTGAAGGGTTAATTGTTAGCCTCACAGCACTTGGCTGTAATGTTAATTGCCTTCTGCATCCTTTCCGATATAGTTACATCGTCGAACACTGTGATAGATATGACATGGTCGTCGTCGTACGGAAACTTAAGTCATTAGTTTTACCAGTAGACTATCAATGCAAAATGTCCATAGTAATGGCGATAACATGCCTCCTTGAGGAGAGCCTCTAGTGGCTCGATTTTACACAAAGGTTAAACTTAATGACTTTTGATGTTAGCATTTCCAGAGTCCATTTTCTGATAACCTTTAGAATGCTTAGTGCGAGGTCTATAGCATTATATGACGTGTTATCTATAAATGAACATAGGGATATTTGCTTGGAACATGATGTATAGCAGTCACCGTAGATTTGCCGGATTGGAAAGCAAATTGAAACCGATAAATTTGGTTCAATTGAGGTTTTCCTGATATCTTATTCCAATATCTTTATCTAGAATGTTTGGGTGACTTGAACCATTTTAAAAAACATATTATTTTTTCTGTTTTCGTCATTTTACTGCGTCCGTAAGTCTTTAAAGATATTGAATATGAGAACTGAAACTTCTGCTAAAAACAATCTTGTAAGAACGACTTTAAACTATTTCCTAAACTCCAGTAACAACAGATCAATTTTAAGGTTATAAGGATTGCTGGCTATTTACTGGGAGCACTCGTAAGTCATTTAGCCCAATGTGATGTTATTTCTTACTAATTTGGGCGATCTTTTCATTTCATTGGTCCGTGAGGGAATCCGTTACTTCTAAGAAATTTGAGAAGATTTGTGAGTGAAACATTCTTGATACAATCGAGATCACGAAAGAAGCTTATACGAAGATATCTTAGTCTGCTCTCTAGTTAAGCGCGAAAAACATCAAAGTAAATACTTCCAAAAGAATTACATTTACCACCACTTCAAAAGTTTCACTCCCAAATAGCTTCCAAAAAAAAGAACATAATAATTACTTCTCGAGAATGACATTGGAAGTAGTAAAGATGGAATCAAATAAAAAGGACATGTGTATATCAACATTTTGTATTTCCTTTCATGTATAGCCATAGAGGGGTATTTCGAACACCGGCTTAGCGAAGTTAAGTTTTTCTTGATATAAGGACATGACATAAAGTTACTCATGAACATTGAACATGGACACTTTTTGGAGTGAACATTATGAAATAGCACCGTCTTTAACAGACATACATGAAATCTTCTTTGAAAATGAATTAAGTTTAAAGTTTTGTCTTGACATTTTTGAACTAAAAACTTAATAATACATTTTATTTAATTCTTAAAACGATGTAGGGTTTCCCACTTTAAATACTTTTTCGTACTGGGCGACCCGATTGACAAACGGCCCATATTTGTCAACAAACAAGATCTTTAAAGCGCTAATCGATAGCTCGTGAGCTATGGAATAAAGAAACTTTGTTAGCTGTATATAAAACGATTAATTGGAAAGTGTTTAATTATGTTACTCCAGTGTGGTCACCTTCGCTCGATAGAGAAACATGCAAAGTTGTCAAAATGCTAAACGGGCTGCTTAAAATTTACCTCGGAACATCGCCTCCTTGAGGAAACGAAGTCATCGAACACATAGTCATGTTGACCAGACAATTCTTTCTGAAATGTCACCGAAGGAGTGATACCAACTATAACATTATATAGTTGACAGCCTGAACATCATTGCTGAACCCACCCATTAGATAAGAGCATTTTTTCAAGGAAGAACTTGCATTAATATACGGAACTGTCACAACAACAATAATGTCCATATGAAAAACATATGTATGTATGTGTATAGATGTTGAGTAAAAGTTGAGAATAATTTAAAAACTCGCAAATTTGTTTAACAAATTGTTTATCAAGGGATGTGTCATCTATAGAATCACATATACATATGTATATGTATGATACACATCACTGCTTTTTGAAATTCTATAATATAAAATACTTTAATTCAAATATTTTTTGCTTTAACTTCCAATAAAGAAATTTTGCAAAAACGTCTTAAGTATGGAACTTAATATTTGTAAAATTTAATATTTAAAAGTCAATAAATTAACTTCAGTTGCAAAAAATGTAATAAAGTTAACTATGACTTCAAAAAATATATGTAAACTTATTTAATTTCTAATCATTTTTAACCACACATTTAGAAACTTACTTTTATTTTGAAAGTTTCTTTCTTAAATCTTTTGTTTTAGATCAAAGTACATGCTCTGTTTAAAATATTTAATTATTTTCTTTTATTAATACTTTCATTTAATATTAATTTGTGTAATTCCCAGCAAAGTAAAAGAGTACAATGAATTCCTCGCCTCCGACTACGTGCATTCACCCAAACCCCTCGATTCACGTTTTGGTGATATTGTCACTCTGGCCCAAGGTCGTCTCGAAACAATGCCTAATGGTTCATATCGTTTTGTAGAGGGTAATTGTGATTATGAATGTGCTCGAGAAAGTAATATTATAGCCATGTGGCATGTACAGAAGATACGTCATCGTGATACAGCAGATCGTAAATATCATTATGAAATGAAATTCAGTGTAAGTCCTATGACATCTAAAGCACCGACAGAAACTGTAGTACGTGGTGGTCCCAATAAACGTACCATTATGGAAGAGAGACGAAACAATGTACAAACATTTATACAGAAAGAAGATGATTATCCGAATAGTTTTAGAAAATTAGTTTCGGATAAAGATGAAGATTTCTCGGATAAACGTTATGAGGCAGCTAGAAACTTTCGTCAAGTTAGTCCTCACTATGCCTCGCAACAGGTTACTCCCATACCACAGAGTACATTTTTAAGAGGAGTTTATCATCCACCTCCCCCACCACCACATTCAACAATGCATATGCAACAGCTACAACATTCTCGTTTGTCACAGCAGCCATCTGTACATGCTCATCATCCTCAACTGCATCATCCTCAACAACATTTACCCTTGCCAGAACGTTTAAATATTGGTGAATTTTATAAAGGAAATTATGTACCGAAAACCACCTCAAAAATGGAATTATTTCCCAATCTATTAAATATGTTTATGGGAAAACCACAATATCCTTTGCCACCACCCACCACATTTCGTCCTCCCACCTACCAAATGAAATTCCCTAGACCAGAAATTTACACTTTACAACATCATCCTTCACAAGAATTTCCCAAATATTCTGAATATCCTCAACATCCACCACCTCCTCCGCAATCTCATTCACAAGAACAATTCACCCAAAGACCACCTACTTCTATGCCCGTAGTAACACATCATTATCATCATCATTATTTTATGCCCAACAACAGTGCAATTACAATTGAACAGGCTATACAACACAGCAGCGGTGAACAGAATCCAGAGGCGCCTGCTGAACTTTATCACAATGAAGTGACTGAGATTACTGCTCCTCAGGGTTATGTAACAAATTTATATGAAGAACCCCACGCCACAACAACTTTAAGACAACAGCATTTCCCCCAACCACAACATTCACCTCAAACTCAATATCATGCAAATATTCAACATCAACAAACGAATCGTCAAAATTATCTGCAACACAATTATCATTTCCCACAAGTGGTTCCACCAGCTCCCCAAAAAATTGTCTTCCCCAGCACTCAGATTGAACAGCAAAGAGTGGTACTTGTTACTCCTGCTCCTCCTTTGAGAAAACCACAATATCAGCCACAACAACAACATCAGCAGCAGCTGCAACATTATAAGAATCGTCCTTTTACTGCCTCCCTAGAGTATACGACAGTTCATGTACCTTTATTGATTTCATATCCTGCAACCATAAGTGAAGAGGAACGTGCAGATGTGCCAACTCCTCGCAATAAACCATTTTTACAAAGTGATCCCCTGGATGATAACGTACATTATTCCGAACCTGATCCTTTATATGCCAACGTTAATGAGGCAGAAAGTGGAGAAGAAAATAAATTTATAGCGAATGTACAGCACTCGCAGCAGAAGGTGGGAAATCAGGAACCTCAACTAGAATCGCCAGAGAATGTGAGTAAAAAATATTTTGTCTTTCCAAAGAGAATAAAATTTGCTAAAAACTAATGTCAAACTTATCCTTTATTCCTTATTTCAGTATGATCACCAACAAACGAATCAACAACAAAATGATGATGAACATGACAGCAAAAAGGAACACAGTGAATCCATAGAAGCTCAATTACCAGCGCCCAATGAAAAACCAAATGATACTGAAGCCGCTAAAGATACAGAGGAAACAACAGAAACCAAACAAAAAGTAGCGGAACAAAATACAAGTGAATCAACAACAACCACTATAAAACAAATATCTAATGAAAAAACCACTGCCAAGTCCATTAAAACAGAGGCCTCTAACTCTATTGTAAGTGCAACAAAAAGGCCTAAATTATTTCCCTTGCGCAGCAAACGCATAAGTCTCAAAACAGCAACTACAACATCCTCTACAACCACAACAGCTAAGCCAACAACATCTCCAAAACCTACAACAGAAACTATTAAATCCTCAACTACACCCAAGCCCAGAAAAACGTTTGTTTCAACCTCTTCCACAGAAACTCCCTTAAGAACCGTCAGTCGTTATCGTAACACTTATACACGTGGTAGTTCAACCACAACAACAGAAAAACCCGTACTAAAGTGGACTCCTAAACGTAAATTTAACAAATTTATGACAATAAAAAGTACAACACCAGCAGCTAAAGAAAATAAAATAGAAATTAATGAAACAGATGATGAAAGTGATGAAAATAATGATAACAACGATGAAGAAAATAACAATAACAATAATGAAGATATTAAAACAAATGAAAGTAATAATATAAGAATAACAAAACTACATTTAATGACTACAACAACAGAAAACGAATTGGATTCGAAAACAACAACGACAACTGAAATGTCAAATGCTATAACTATGGGCACCAGGCCAACTGTAATGGCATCAACAACAACAACATCATCAACATCTTCATCTACTTCTACAACAATTTCTCCTTTACTCTCACAAACTTCACAAGCTGAAACAGAAATTTATGAGATATTAACCCAGAAATCTGTAAGCAAATCTGTTAGCTTAAAAGTGGGCAATAATGGTGAAGAAATTCCTGTTATTATTGATGATCATGAAAATGAAGTTAAAACCTTTTGATTGTGTGTTAATGTTTAATTAGTTTGTTGTTGCTATTAACCAAATATTTTAAATATGAGTATTTTGTTTTGTAAATATATTTGTTTTGATAAAATGTGTCTTTTTCTTAAATATGTTTATATTTTGTTATATCATTATTTTTAATAACACATTTTGCTTTTTTTAATTAGTATTTATTAAATAAAGAAGAATTAAAATAATTTTAAAGCGTTTTTTATAAAAAAAAATAAAATAATACGTTAATGTCGATATTTTAATACTCTTTGTATCATTGTTAATAATCATTTCATCAATTCACGTTTGAAGTAGAAACACCCTGCGATTTCTCATTCACATCAGGAAGTCAATCTTCCACCTAAATCCACTCAAATCTAAAAATTCTGCTTTACTAATCTATAGGATTGGTTAAACAGTGTTTTTCAATGCTATTGCTCCTATCCAAACCAATCAACCTTACAAACGGAAGCAGTTGTTTTTGAAATTTCAATAGAATTTAAATGGGGATTCGATCAGTATCGAACATCCATACAAGAGAGAACAGCAGATCCAAAATAGAGTTCCCTGTTCCCATTAAATGTCGGACAGTAACAGAGGAGATGAGATATAGTCTCCTCCTACTTCTGAAGTAGTCATTGTACTGGAGACCCATTCTTCTAGCGTGATTGCTAATAACACAGTGTACCGTTATTACCGATAACAGCGTTCTCGAAAGCTTAACAATAAGCATCATATAGAGGCCAGGTTGACATCGAAGTTAGGCAGGTGGTTTCACTAAACCATCTAATCTGAGCCGTTTCATATAGTTCATTTTAAACAAGTCCCTTACAGATAGTAAGTGAAGGCGTCGATCCCATTCTCCCCTCCCATCGCACCGTTTCTGGCAAGTTCGTCAGCAATACAGTTTCCCAGATAATTACTATGTGCAGGGACCCATATTAGCGTTTTTCGAGAATGTCTATCTCATTAAGAGATACCCGGCATTCTTAACCTAGATGTTGTAAAGACATCCACTAGGCTTTTGATTGCAGCTTCGCAGTCCGTATACATGCGTATATCCCCCGATATTCGATAATACGTCAGCCAATTTACCGCTCGTTTTATAGCAGATATATCTGCCTGTAGAATGCTACAATAGTTAGGACTGAAGACAGATTTGATTCCAAATCTTTCAATGTAGAAACCACCAACCACCCTACACCTCTGTGTAAACATTCGCATCATTGGGTAAGTGGGTTTCAGATACTGAGTTCCTCTCAGGAATCAGAATGGAGAAGCATTTATCGTAGTAAGGTTTCGTAACGCAGTATTCAACATTTAAATGCTAGGATTCGAAATAACCTATAGTGTGGAATTTATATTCTTCCAGAGGCGAGAAAATGTATCCTACAACTTTGTGGTAACTTCTACAAATGTCATCCAAATACTGTATACTTAACCGTATACTTTATCAGCCAGAAAATAGTTTTTTACAGATATATATTATATGTAGGGAGATTGAATAAATAAGTTTCAAACCATTTTAAAAAAAATCTCTAAAGAACAGAACTAGTTCTTACAAAAACGCCATATTCATTATCAAAATCTTGTCTATAACCAAAAACCAAAAACAAACTAATACATAACTACTTGTGGATCTAGTACAATTTATTTTTTAGATTGAAAAATTACAAGCAAAAAACTTACCAGCTTCTTCAGAGGCGTATTTATAACTTGGTTGAGGTGATACAGGCAATAATTTTGCATATGCTTCTGGCATCATTTCAACAATACGTTGGTGATAAGACAATCTGGAAAAAATAACAATTTAATTAATACACTATAGTAAAAAAAAATTTACCACAAACTCACCTTAAACACTTCTGTAAAACTTCCTGTATAAATTTCGGTCTAGGATGTTCCATATCCAATAACAAACAACTGTCCCATTCCTCCCAAGACCATGTGAATTTGAAATTACTCAAATGATATGAAAACCAATTGACAAAACGATCGAAGCAAGAAGTATTCATAGAATCAATACGCATAAAAAGAATTTCAGTTGCTTGAGCCAAAACTTGTGGCAAAGTAGCGGGATGCAATTTACACAATTCAATCAATATAGAGCCATAGACAATATCTATATAACGTGGTGTAGGCATATGGAACAGTTCAGCAAATATAACTTCTACAATGCAGTATTCGAGAGGAATCTTATTTTTGTAGGGGAACGCCAATAGTTGGGCAGCACAATCTTTACGTTCGCCATGATGCATTTCAATAATGTGATGAAGATGTTCTTCAATTAAGAAACGTTCTATGGAATGGGCACCCGGTAGATTGGGGCCATCGGGACAATCGGTATAATCAAACATACGATAGACTACCCAGGGCATGGGATAGACGTAAGACTCATGATGAGGAGGTGGTATAATTTGGGGTAAATTATGTTGCAAGGCCTCACACAATATCGAATCAAAAGCCAAATAGGGCCGGGGAATATGTTTTTCAGCCCAATTGTCTTGTCTTAGCTTGCGAATTTGAGCCCACAAACAATCTAGGTATTCCTCCTGGGGATGAGGAGCATCTACCGACCATACACGCAAAGCATTATGATGTTTTTTCGAGCGTTTATTCAAATAAACTTCTATACGTAGGAGTAATGACTCCAAAGATGATTCCTTCTTTTCATACAAATCCCTACCCACCCAGGGTAGTGTAGAGAGTACAGCAAACACATACCAATCACGACGTACTTGTGGTACAGTATCCTCATTGGAAACATCAATCATGGTGTCCATTAACTGCAGCAAAGATGAAGCCGAAATGACATGACAATTAACCAAATCGGCCAAGAAACGCAAAGAATAACGTGCAGCATCCCAACGACAAATTTTTAAACTTTCCTTAAAAGTCTTAACCATGTGATCAACAAATTCACCACCAAATTTATAGTTTTTGGCATTCAGCAGACCCACCAAGGTCGTGTAAATAGTACATTTCTCTGGCATTTTAACAGCACAATCCGATAGAATGCGTAAAATTTTCAAACGAAATGTGCCCAAATCTGCCTCCAAAACCGATACCAAACCCTCCAAGTTTGATTCCACCGATGAGGTGCTGCGCTCACCGACACGCAATATCAAAGACTCCAAACGATCTTCGATTTCTTGATTTTCCGATACCCTCCTACGTTTGCGGTTACGGTGTTCTGAAAATAGTTGGAAAAATTATGAATGTGAAATTCCACGTTACTTTTTTCAGGAAAATTGTGTTTTTTGTCCACTTACCGTAACCATCTTCATCCCCATCATGATGGCGTCTACGATTCATGTTTGTTTTTATATTTTTGTTACTTTTAAATTGATTTAACTATTAGGTTTTTACAAATTTCTATAAAATTTGTTTAATCGTGAAATTTTATTGCGGAATTTCTAATTCTTTTTACAAATTATCTACACAAACACACAATGCTTTCTTTCATTTACAAACACACAATCTGTGACCTGCGCCGACAAACATTAACAACGCCGGCGGTGACTAATAAATATGGACGACGACGTAAAAACGACTGCAAAACCGGCAGAGTTTTACAGCTGTTTTTTATTTATTCAACCAATGATGCCAGATTTTACAAATTAATTATTTATATTTTGACGATTTTGAGTGTAAAAATAATTTGAAATATTATTTACCTTTAAATTTCAATATAATTTTAATGAAAATCGATACATATTTAGAATATTCCATGATGTAATAAGTACATCCTGGAATATTAATAAAATTAAATATAATATTTTAGAATATAGATAGAATTGATCAAATCTTTGACGTAAAAGCGAATCCAAAAGTCTTATTGGACTAGCGGAACCGCTTTAATAGTTTTCTATTCAAAATGTGGTGAATTTCTTTTTAAATCTTTAAAGTTGGTCCTATTAAGTACTCCTATAATGAAAATTAAAAAATCTGGGTTTCAAAGTTTAAAAAACAATTTTAGCCCTTGGAAATAAAACATATTTTGAAACATCCTATTAAGGCCCTAGTTAATCATCATTCAAAAAACGTTTACCCTTTAAATATAGCATATGTATATACTAACCTAACAAATATTCCGATTTGTTAAAAACAAACTATAACGCCATCTTTCTACCCGGAAAAAATTTATTTGCTGGTATTATTTTACATTTAACAAAGTACTGTGGCTCACGATGCTTTTATTCTTTAACGTGGTGGCAGCACTTTTCAAATATTTTGCAATTGCATCATTCACAATAATGTTATGTTTGCCGGTATGTGTAATTCACAATGGAGTGTTATTGCAGCTAAGGGTATTACCAACATTTGTAAACAAAGGGTGTTGCCATTTAATGAAAATTTAAATATAATTTAATAGAAATTATGTTAATTTTAAAGTTAACAGTTTTGTTTATGAAATAAAAGAGTAAATCAAATTTATAAAATTATTTCAAAATTAAAAGGGGATGTGTTAAAGGAGACACGGTAAAGAATTTTCACAAATAATCATATTAACCAAGAATTTATTAGAATTATAATACTTTTTACCTAAAACCTAAAAAAAATATAAATCTGTATTTTTTTTCTTTTGTGAAACTTGAAGGGTGTTGGCATACCTCTAAAAAAATGTTTAATGGTGTGAGAATTTTAAGCTTGATTGTTATGCGCTGGGATTTGTTGCATATTGTTTACACTTTTTGAAAATTATTTTTTTTTTGTTTCCTTTTCCATAGATAGTATAAGGAAGGCTCTTCTGATTGTTGTTATGGAAATTTCTATATGAGTTTTATTGTGGCACCACAGAATAATGCAACCACTACAAGTGTGTTTTGAATATTTATGGTTAGAGATGGTTTTTTATTGTTAAAACACTTTTTTCACTTTACTTGTTTTCAATTCTTTTTTCATGTTAGTTTTTTTTTTGTTGTCAGTATTGTATCCAATTTGTGAGGAACATTCTGCACTACATTTTAAAATCCTTTATACTTACAGATACACATAAATACTTGTACAAATTTAAAAGGATATATTACATTTTTGATTGAAATGTGTTGTTGATTGTGTGTAAGGGGAAAAGGAAAAAAGGGAAAAGAGAG